GGCAACAAGATTTTATCTTTCGGCTTATAACTTGTACTTTCGGTTTAAATCACTCTTTCCATCAATGAGTTTTAAAACCCTGTTTCAGCAGAGTCTCCACAACGTCAAAATCTGTGATGGAGGAAAGCAGGAGAAGAGACCACGTTCCACCGTGTTGAAAATCAAGATATTGGAACAGTCACGTGGGGGAGAAGAGAGCAAACTCGAACCGAGCATTAGATATCGAGGCGTGGAGTCACGGCACGTTCATCGCCCACCGTGAAAGAAGAAAGAACCCAGAGAATTAAACAACAGTGAGAGGATCCAGATCATTCTTCTTTCATTAATCAGAATTCAAATTTAACCGAGTGAGAGAGAAGGAAATTGTTAATCATTCTTTTCTAAACGTTAGACGAGAGCCGAGAATAAAGTCAAACGCAATTCTTTTATGTCATTTTCTTGTTACAAAATTTCGCACCAAACAGACCATTCCGATTAATAATTTTATGAGCCAACAATATTTACAATTTCGAGCCTGCAACCCAGATTTTTGTGCCTTTTAGTCAATTTTAACTGTTATTCAAATAATTTCACGGAGGTCAATATTCATATTTTGACTATAACCCACAATTTTCTGGTCATTTTTTTTGGTCATTATTTTGATTTGTGGCCAATAATGTTGCCGGCAAACAATAATTCCTGCGATATAGCCAAAATGCCACGATTTTTTTGTGAGCTACCAATCCACGATATTTTTGGTAATTTTTGGTCATTTCAACCTCTCAGTAAATTATTTTCATGGACGCCAAATTCACCAATTTGTGCTATAATTTAGATTTTAACCATTGAGTCATTTTGATCCCCTCGCAATTACATTTAATTTCTCGTATAACTCAACATCACGATTTCCGTGAGCTTTCTGAACCCGCAATATTCTCCCTCATTTTGGCCTCATTGGCTAATAATTCGTAGAGTAACAAAATTTTTATTTTATGAGCTATAACCCATAATTGTTGGCCCATTTTGCAGTCGTTTTGGCCTATTGAACAAATGATTTTATGAAGGCCAAAAATTCTCATGTTTCGATGAGCTTTAACTCATGATTTTTACTATTTTTAGTTTATTTCCACCCATTAGCAATAAAATTTATTCGAGTTAAAAATATAGTTAATTTTATGGCCTATAAACGTGATTATTAGTATTTTTAAACAATTGGCAAATTAATTTTCACGAAGGCAAAATTCACAATCTCATGAGTTATAACCCATGACTTTTGAGGCATTCTTAGTTATTTTTATCCATGTCAAATAATTTTGTTCGAGACCAAATGTTTATGATTGATGACTTATTATAACTCACTAAGTTATTGCTATTTTTTAGTCTGTTTTTGCCTCAGTCGACAACATAATTACGATTTTATCAGGCTAAAAGTCAGATTTTGCCATTTAGTCGTTTTGTTCTATTGGTAATAATTTTCAATGCTGAGTCCAAAAATTTTCGATTTCCTGAGTTAACCGCCATATTTTTTTTCCTATTTGTTAGTATTTGAATCTATTAGCAAAATAATCTTAAAGATTTGTTAAAAATTAAAATTTCATGAGCATATAACTAATTGATTTTTGTGTACTTTTAATAATTTGACCGTGCCAAATAATGTAGTTGAGTGGCGCAAATTCACATTTCTACGCAGCTATAACCCATGATTTTTGTCATTTTTAAGCCATTTGGATTATTGCCAAATCAATATGGTGAAGGCAAAAAAATTCACAAATTTCAGAGCTATTCTTCATGGTTTTTTCCATTTTAATTTTATGTCCTTTTGCCAACTAACTAACTTTGTAAAAATTCACGGTTTCATGAGCTATATATAACCACATTGCGTTCTTGGTCATTTTAGTCAATTTGACAATTGATAAATAATTTCGTGTTAATTTTTGATTTCATGAGCTAAACCCCACGGTTTTTGAGATGAATGAGCCAAACTCAACCGAGCTTTTGCTATTTTTAGTTGTTTCGATTCGTGGCAAATCACATGTGCTAAAATTTTGATTACTGTGACAATGATTTATTGACAATGAGCCATTGATTTTTTGCCAATTTCTCAGTCGTTTCGACACTGGACAAATAATGTACAAGGAGAGAAATATTTTATATTCATGAGCTATAATTCCACTATTATTATCTTTCTTAACATTTGAACATTGATAAATATTTCGCAGATGCCAAAATTAACTATTCATAAGCTAACCCATAAATTTTTCCTTTTTGTCATTCTCGACTTGTTGTCAAATAATTTCGCAGAGGCTAAAATACACAATTCCGTGTGATATAATCCATAATTTTTTGTCATTTTTAATCGTTTCAACCCGTTGTAAATATTTACGCGAAGCAAAGTTCATGATTTAAGGAGACATAACTCATGATTTTTTTGTCATTTTAGTGGTTTCATCCATTGGCAAATAATATTCAGGACGTCAAAGTTCCCAACCAAATAATTGTTTAGACTTAGACATTTTTAGTATTTTTGACAAATGATTTCACGGTAGCTAAAATCACGATTTCTTGAGCTGTCTAACACTGGATTTTAACCATTTAGTCTTTTGATTTGTATCAAATAATTTTGCTCAGGCCATAAATTCCAGCGATTATATGAGTTATAGCCCACATTTTTTTGCCATTTTTAGTTTTTTGACCTGTTGTCAAATAATTTCACAATTCTAAAAATTTATGATTTGCATGAGCTATACTCATAATTATTTGACCAGTTTAGTATTTTTAACCCGTTCGCAAATAATTTGGACAGTAGCAAAATAACCACGCATTATGATGCATATAATCAACAATGATTTTTGGTCCTATGTAGTATTACGGGACCAGTTGGCCCAATAGTTTACAAAGAATAAATTCACGTTTGATGAGCTATAAACTCCTGCTGATTTTTTTTTACCATTTTAGTGTTTCAATCCATTAGATTAGGGGTGAAATGTCCCAAAAATTAACAAATAGTTTGTTTAATTATTTGACTAACTATTCGGGGTATTCGATCCAGTAGTTCATTTGACACTTAACATATGAATATTAGTATTTGAGTTAGTAACAACATAATTTATTCTGCCCTTATCGATATTCATTTAAATTGACTCGCTTTCAATTTGTATCATTACACATGATTTTTAATTTTCGACATACTTATATTTTCTTTTAAGTTCTAGTATACTAATTTTTGAGAAACTTAAAGAATCTTAAATGAGTTTTGATAATGAAATATCAAATAAAGTATTGTATGATGCGCACACACATACCTAACAATAAGAACACTTTTTATTTATAAAAATTTCAATACTATTTAAAAATTAAATCTTTAGCAGAATGAATTATACTTTGGCATTTATAATATTTGTGATATTGAATATTCATCCAAATACTGGTATTCAGTTTGAATTCGAAAATCTACCGACATGAATCATTTAAATTTATGTTTGAATTTGAACAAATACAAATACGAATTCTCAATTCGATTCGATTCGTTTCATTTCCCACCTCTCA